CTGTATTTGATAATGTTTTGAACTTTTAAAATATTGCATGGTAAAAACAGAAGCTGTACTTCATATTAGTGACAAACTTTGGCATTTTTGATGAGTTACTTTCATTTTTGCTTCTACTTTTAATTTAAAATAGGTTTCCATTCTCGGCAGGTTTCTAAGCTGCTTCTTCTTCTTCGTATTAAAAAGTTGTTAAACATCTGAGTGGTGCACTACTGCTACTAGTGGTGAGAAAGTGTATTGCACCTTATTCAAAATCAATGCGGTCCCACGGCCCTCTGCGGCCCAAAGTTAAAAACTGTTGTTCTTTTGAGGCCCTCAAGGTGGTGCATATGTTAARAATCTCTGCCATAAACCATAAACACACAATTGTTGAATGAAATTAACATATTTAAAAGTTACATWAATTTATCGTAAAAAGATTTAAAAATGTGACACAGAGCTAGTTGGGCTGTTAATCAAATAGTTGCTCTGTCAGCTCTGAGCTGTCRACACCATTTTTGCTCCTTCATGATGTGATGGATGCTAACAGGTCTCAGTTCAGTGTCATTCAAGTTTATAGTCACAACTGAAATTAATGTCTGTGACCAAACTAACAAAACAGTGAAGAGAAATTAGGTTTATCTACAGAGAAGTCCAACAAAAGCCATCATTCTCACCCACATGGAGAAGAAAATAAAATCAGTCAAGAACTGTGGGTGACTGGATGAAAGGGTCACRTCAGGTAAAAGCACACAGGAGCTCTAGATCCAGATAAAAATCTTTGATGAAAATGGTCTCTAACCTGCAGAGCAGACCTGGTAGCTACAAYAAGACAGCTGGAGCCAGCTTGATGAAGAGTAGTGTTTGTCATTAGTTAGGTCCATGTTCCTGAGATTTCTTGCTGTTATAAAAGCCAGAGGTGGTGCAGCAAAGTACTAACAGTGTTTTTCATTATAATTCYGTATTTATTTCCTCTGTTTGATCTAAAATATAATAGAACTTTTGAGAAATTATAGGTTTGTGACGAGTCTGTGATTTTTCTTTTCTATACAAAATTAAACTAGAATCAGGGCTCTAGACTAACTTTTTGCACTGGTTGCACTGGTGCGCCTAACATTTTTTCTTAGGTGCACYAGCACAAATGTTAAGTGCACCCAAATTTTCAACCACATCACATTTAACATCAGAGTTTTATCCAGAAAAAAAAACAGAGTTTTACAGGTTATTTTTTTTAATCACTGTTCATTAAGGCAACATTAACTCAAAAATAATT